TTTTAAAGTGTCTTAAAATGTTCAAAAACTCTTTAAAATGCTTGGAATCATTAGTGCACCTTGTACAACCTTTGCAAACTTAATTTGGCTTTGTTCTGAGTCTTCGTTAATTTTTGGTGAATTTCCCCCCCCCATTGGATTGCATTGAACTGTAGGTTTGACAGCTGTCAAACCTACAGTTCAATGCAATCCAATGGGGGGGGGAAATTCACCAAAAATTAACGAAGACTCAGAACAAAGCCAAATTAAGTTTGCAAAGGTTGTACAAGGTGCACTAAAGATTTCAAGCATTTAAAACAGTTTTTGAACATTTTAAGACACTTTAAAAATAGCAAAAACGGACCTGTCAAAACCATTGAAACGCATTGCAACCTATTCAATGCATTCCAATGGGGGAACCGCGTTTTGCTTAGCGATGTTTCCTATGACGATTTTCGCTTAAGGACGGTAATCCATTCCCATTGGAACGGATTAACCGATTTTCAATGCATTCCTATGGGAAATGGTGTTTCGCTTAGCGATGTTTTCCCATAGCGATGGGCTTTTTTTGGAACCAATTAACATTGCTAAGCGAGGCACCACTGTACTGCTTTGAGCTATTCTCATTGTAACCCAAATTATTTTGGGTGACTTGGTCTGGAATTAGTATTCATTAGCTCTACAGAAGACCTGCTCACAATGAACCTGAAATACAGATCAACACAGCTGCCTGAATCTCTGGATTCTTCTTGAGTGCATAGCAATAGGGTAAAGAGTACCAGGATTTCAAAAGTTACTGCTGCACTACTGGCCAAGCAAAATGACTGCCACAATCCCCATGTAACATCAGCTAACAAGATGTCATTGCCAAACCTTATTTAATTGTCTATGTTCTTATGTATAAGGAGTACTCAGGTCAATGCTTTCTCAGCTTAGACTGAAATATGCATTAGATCAGTGACAATGACCACATTATAAAAGCAGCAAAAAACCCTTTCTCCCATTTCCACAATCCTTTGGAAAGTGACAACAAATGCTGATAGAAATTCCAGGCTTGCCATGCATTTCAGTGGAGCCAGGAGCTCCACATTGGTTGTTCTGTTGCTGCTGTTGTCTCAAGAGATTCCCCTCTAATGTACAGCAATATCTCCTGCTGAGTAGGAAACTTCCAAGGAATGCTATTCATCATCCAGGGGAGTCTGGCAGCATACCATACCACTGGAGCAAAATATCCAATTAAAAAGGAGCAACCAGAATCCACTTCTGAATTGTGTCAAACTGAGCTCACTGCTTTTTGGCTGGCCAGGTTACTCTTCCTAGAGCTCCATCCTCTGGCCAGACCTGAGAAGCAGAGCATAATGCTGAGTATCTGGTTTTATTATCTCTTTAGACAGCAGGCCCACAAGCTGGGGCCAGGCATATACAGTACTCTGACCAAAGCTAGACAGTTATTTTTACACGCCCACAAGCTGGGGCCAGGCATATACTCTGACCAAAGCTAGACAGTTATTTTTGCAAAAATAACCCCTTCCTGTTCCTTGGTATACTGTTTTAAAGATAATGTGGCATCATTGCTCATTCAAATATTAAAAGAGGATTTAACTGCAACATGCGGGGTTGGATGTTACTTTCCATTACTTTTGGTTCCTTCAAAACTTGGGATTGGTAAGAGGCTGGCATAACACTTGAAAAATTCCTGACAACATTGCTCTAAAAATGCTACCGTATTTTTCCATGTATAAGATGATACTTTTGTCTAAAATATTTAGATTAAAAAATGAGGGTTGTCTTATACACGGAAGGATGGGAGAGAGATCAAAGGGCTTTGATCCCTGACTTCCACCTCCACTTTTTGCAAAGAAAGTGGAAGAGGAAAGCACTTTCCTCACAAGAAACTGGAGGGAGAAAGCAGGAATCATCAAAGCACTTTGATTACTGCTTTCCCCCTCTACTTTCTTGAGAGGAATGTGCTTTTCCCCTTCATTTTCTTTGCAAAACGAGGAATGTGCTTTTCCCCTACATTTTCTTTGCAGAAAATGGAGGGGGAAAGCAGGAATCAAAGCGCTTTGCTCCCTGACTCCCCCCCCCCACATGTTCTTGCGAAGAAATAAATTTTGGGTTAGACACCACCCCCCACGTTCTTGCGAAGAAATACATTTTGGGTTAGAAAAGAGGGGCGTCTTATACATGGGGGTGTCTTATACATGAACAAATAATTAGAAAGCATTTGTTATATCAATGAAGTCATTTCATTCTCACTCATTCTTTGCTTTTGAAATATAATTTTGTTTTGCCCTTGTTTAAAAAAAAGTAACCCCTCACAGGTGACTGTTACTTGTCGCTCATTATTTCCAACCTCTGCTTCTGATCATATCTCTCTGCAACCAAAGATAAGCTAGCTCTTCTCATTTCGACTTGCTTTTTTTAAATTGCTATGCCAGCTGAAACATACCATTCATTGCTCAGTGGTATGGTAACTTATTTGCATATGAAAGGTCACAGGTTCAATGCAAAGCAGATCCAGAGTATTCCTGCTTAAAACTCTTCAGAGCCACTGCCAGTCAGTATCCGTGGAATTAGGCTAGAAGATGAACCAATGGTCTGACTCAATATAAGGCAGCTCCCTCTCTTAAAATCAAGGATGAGAAAACTGAGCCCTTTTTATGAGTCTCACTTCTGTGCCACTGATGCATTTAATTTGATATTTTACTGTATTATGCCACTTGTGTTTCAGTTTTTGATGATTAAATGGTTATATGGTACCTGGAAGACTAGGTTAATAGGTGCCTAATAAATGTAAATAAATAATAAATTGAGACCGTTCACCTTTGAATAGTTCAGAGCTTTAGAAATATAACAGTTCCACTCATAGGAGAAAATCGAGACTAAAGCAGCATTCCTCAATTCCACCCAAGTTGAATAGCACAGGAGCACCTGGGAATGGGACGATCCTCTTGTCTTCCCTGGCTATGTGTTTCTGTTCTGAAAGACTGCATGTACTGCACCTACAAATAACTTAAATCAAGGTATATTCAAAGAGGGGCAATCTTGTAATTACTGCAGATGAATGGGGTTTTGAGAGGTACCTTGTAATAGAACTGCATTATTGGCTTGAAATAAAATGGAGTTCATTAGATAGTACAGGACAAAACTGAACGTTAAGCACCATCTTAAAAAAAAATAATTTGGTAATGTCAGATGTGTTGCTATTAATTTAGGGATGGGTGCAAAAACTAGCCAACCCATTGCCCAGGTGTTTGGAAGCCCCCATTTCATAACTGTTCTAATTCTGCAGTGGTGCTTTGAATTAAATAGGGCATTAAGTTTAACATTTGCTCTGAATTTTAACAACCAACTGTGCAATTTACAGAAAAATAAGTCCCACTGGATTGATTTAAGAGGACTTTAGTGCACTGAGCACAACACTGGACTGTGGTCAAACGTTGGGCAAGTATTTTTAACATTTAACCCACATCATACAGTCATGGCTTTACACCCATGTTAGGAAGAGTATACGAGACTAAGTATTTTCTCTGCTTACCTCTGAGGGTAGCATTAAGCCCAGTGGCGGCGGCGGCTTCTTCAATTCTTCACATTTTCTCTTTTTACATATACGGTGACTTGTCTTGCGTTTCCTGCAACAGCTGCATTCTTCACAATTAGTCTTCCGCAGACACGGCTCACATACTCCGCATCGACGTCGCTTTTTCTTCTCAGCTACAGGTTGTAAAGAGGTAAAAGAGACAAGGAGACTACCAACTGAATTTCCACAGGAGGTGGGCTCTGAAGCAACAACTAGGCCAGCGTCGTATGTCCTGGTATCCTGAACAAGGTGTATGCCTTTTCCATCCTCGAGTCCTGATTGGGGCAAGGGATCCTGAGCCTTTGGAATGGGTTCCTCTGTTAAGATGCCTGCTTCTGCCCCCCCTGCTGTGTCTGAGGGCAGCTCTAAAGTAGCACCTTTGGAAGGCCAACTTTCCTTAATGGCCTGGCTGCTGCTTACTAAAACACAATCAGAGGTGCTTTCTTCCGGGTTGAGTGGCATGACGGGCACAGCCACTGGATGGAATGTTTCTGGTACAATATTTTCTAGTGTCCGCTCAAGATCCCCCAAGGCAAAACTAGTCAAAAAGGTACAAGAAGGGTGTTCGTGATCTGACAGTTCCTTTGCTTCGCCGCAACCTGAATAATATTGTCCGGAATTAAAATAAGAATCAAGTGCTTTATTGCCTGGCTCTAGTTCTACAATCTTTGGTAAATAAGACTCCATACATGGGACTGGATCTTTCAGACCATTTCCAGATTCAGTGAGGCTATGCAAACCAGGCTGTTCTGTACTGGCAGGCTCAGGATCTTGCCTGTGGTGGGACTCTGGCAACACACAGGGATCATCTAAATTCAATTTTGAGATTAATTCAGAGGTAATTGAAATGACAGCATCAGGTTCGCAATGCCTTAGCACCACATCACAGTGATTTTTGGAGTGAGGGTCTGCAGGAGACTCTGACCTTTCTGCAGGCACCTTTGAGTTTGTATCTGAGGAAAGAGGCACCGTGGAATCACAGGATGAACCAGAATGTCCTTTGGAGGCAGGAGGCAAATCTAGACTACTTTTCAGGGGTGTCTTCATAGATGTTCCAGATTCATTTCCAGGTATCTTTAAAGCAACGGCGGAATCAAGGTGTGAATGGGAAGTGACAGACTCAGCTGCATTTGAGGTGTTAAATAGATTGTCCAGATCCTGTTTGCCAGAGACAAGTTCTTGATCTTTGCATCCCTCCTGGAATACTTCAGAATGAAGGATATTTGGTATGTCACTAATAGAAGGAGAAATGCTTTTCTCAGGAGATGACTCTCCTTTTTCAGCTTGCCGGTCACATTCAGAGGGATTAACTATCTCTTTATTGCACACAGTATGATCTTCTTTGGAAGAAGGCGATTCACCTTTCTGGTTGGAAAACTGTTGGGAAGCCTGTGCTATTTCTTCAATTTCTTTCCTATCTGGCACATGGGGGGTTCCCGTGCCAGATTTTTCTCTTCTCCCCAGGACAGCTTTTTTGGTTCTCGTGATTGTCGCTGTTTGGAAGCGTCTGTGGGAAAAGGGCTTGCTACGAAGTGTCATGGTAAAACCACTGCCATTTAAATGAGGTTGGTTGTGAAAGAGAACATTATCAGATAATTCCAGGTTCATCCAAGGTGTTCCAGACAAGCTTTTGGTGACACTGCTTCGGAGAAATCGGCATGAGGAAGTCAACTGGGAGTTCTGTTCTTGGGGCTTTTTCTTGCCATTTTTCTTTTCCTCCAATAACCTTTTGCACTTTGCAGAACATACTGCCTTTGGGGAAGTCTTCTGGGCATCTTTTGTTACTTGGCAGGATTTCTTTTTGACTGGGCTTGATTTCTTTTTGCTTATCTCTTCTTTTCTAACTGAACGAGAAGATCTGGCATCACGGGCCATCTCTGTCAAGCAGCAGATGGGCAACTAGGAGTGGAATTAAAGATCATGGATTCCTCCAGAGGTTCTTTTACTTCAGCAGAAGCTCACATATTCACCTGGGCATTTTCTGTACAATACAGAGCTGAAACAGAAAAACAATAAATAAGAGCCAAGAATTCTTACACTTCTTGGTAATATTTACACAGTATTTTAGAACAATCATTCTCAACCTTTTTTTTTTTTTTGCCACGGCCATTAACACAATATAAAAGAAATATATGCTGAATCAAGATTGTATAAGTCACATAACGAACCTTAGTCGGTGATGTGTGAATAATTATTTCCAGTCTGTGGCCCCCTTCAAATGTGCCAGGGTGTCCCATAGACCCATATGGCCCTGTCGAGAAGGACTGCTTTAGAAAATGAGGGTACCTCACATGCATGGTCTCTGTAATGTGTACTAATGATTGAATGTAAAAAAGTTAAAGTAACACAGCTAACTGTGCTGAGTTAATTTTGCTAACAATGAGGATACTGTATAATGGTTCCCTCTGATTGGATTAGATTGCCCCTTGCAAATCTTGTTAGGCAAAAAGTGGCCAGAAAACCTATCACCTCTGACTTTGAAGCTCACATTTTGCAATTTACTTTAAACAAATGGAATCTGGCCTGAACACCTGGTCATTCTTCTTGGAACCTCTATATTTCTTCTGGAACTTCTTCTGAAACTTCTATATTTCTTCTATACCACCCCTATTTCTGTAATACCCATACTGATGAAAGGGCCTACAGGACTCAAAAGCTAGCTGCTGTCTGAGATATAGAGGGATCGCACATCCTTGTTTTCAGATAAAGAGTGGAAACAAGCTTTCCTGTTCTAGTATAAGAAATAACATATTAGTGTTACTTTTTTAAAGTTAATTTAAGGGGCATTTTAGAGTCATTTTACTAGGATGTTTTTCAAAATCTATGCCATACTCTCTGAAAAATCCATTGCATTTGAACAGCAAGTAAATAGCATCTTTGCTAGTGTGGAGGTGGAGAAAGAAAGAAGGGAAGAAATACATCAGATCTGTGGCAAATGTTAACTGCACAGTTTGTTAGAAACCATGGATATGGTTTCTCCAATCTGAATCTTTGCAGAAGTGTTGAATATATATCCCATCGTCCCCAGCCAGCTACCACATTGTGGGATTTGTGCAGATCTGGAAAGTGTCACGTTGGGGAATGCAACTTAAAAAAAGCAACTTGACTCCAAAAAAGGAGTCAATAACAGAATGTATTGCTCGCAGGCAGCAGTGTCAACACAAATATTCCATGCCATTTTCTCTGTCAATCCTGCTCTTCCTAACATGAACATTTAGTGTAACAGCAAACTAGCATGTTAAAAACCCATCCCATTCAATTTTAAGGTGTTTATATTAGATGTTTAAGTTCACTAATGGTTAACAAAACGTGTTAGATTTTTTTTCTACTTACATTCCAACCCCTGGGCTTTATCTCAGGTCTCCAAAACAAATCTGTATTCTTGCAGACTGCAAAGAAAGGCTGACAGTAGCTTTCTTAAGGCTACTGAAAGAGCTTACAGCACTGCACTTACATTGGCATAACTAACCAAAAGGATTCTGACCACTATACTTGCATAATAGCAACACTGTACATATTATTGCAAAATTATCAAACTGCTTCCAGTGCTCCTCATTTTTCTGATTCTTTTCTCATTCTCTATTATGCTGACTGATGAATTTTGACAATGCTAATTTACTTAAAATAGCTAAGCAGCATGATTTGGCATACTGTTTTCTCTTTCACTTCTCAGTATTTAGCATACACATGTCTAGCTGCAATGACTACATGGAGAAATGGGGTTTCTTTAACCTTAATGACTTTTCTTATCAGGCAAACCTTTTAAAAATTATCCTATCCATGGCTATTGTGGTTTTTTCGGGCTCTTTGGCCATGTTCTGAAGGTTGTTCTTCCTAACGTCTCACCAGCCTCTGTGGTCGGCATCTTCAGAGGACAGGAGTAGCACGCTAATCCTGTTCTCTGAAGATGCCAGCCACAGAGGTTGTCTTGTCATTTTTATTAGGCATTTTAATTGGTTATTTTAAATTTGGATGAATAATAAATATGAAATAAAAATTTAACACTGGTTTTGAGAATGCACGTCATACAGTGCTACGTAATCTTGATTCTAATGTATGGCATGGAAGCAGAGGCTAACACAGTTTTTTAAAATAAGCATGTGAAATATGGATTTATTGCAGTATACTAAAAATTAAAAGGCTGACTAACAAAGAAGTACTAAGAAGAATGCAAAAGGACCCAATAAAGCAAATAAAATTAGGAAGTGAGAGTACTTGAGTCATGTGATGAACAACAAAAGGTAAAACTTTTCACACCTGATCCTTCAAGATAAAATAAATGGGACAAGAAGCGCAAAAGAACACAACGTAAATTAGCTGAAGAACCTCAGAGGACGGTTGTTGTTTAGAATTGGCACATCCAAAGTCAACATTTTAACGAAAGAATAAAATCTTAAATTCTAAAATATATGCTTCTGTCTTATTTTATTATAAGAAATCACAAGGTTGAAAATGATCATGTATTTAAGCAATACCAATAAGAAAAATATTAAAAGGGATTAAACATTTTCATTTATATTGTTATCGGAACTTAGATCCAGAGAAAGCTAGATGCAGTTTTGATGTGGATTTGAATGGAATGAATGGCTGTCACTCACACAGACAGATAAGAGTTTTTCCATATAGGATGTAATAGTAACTCTTTACAAAAGTTATTATTACATCAACTCATACACACACACACACACACTTTAATCGGTTAATCTAATAGTAGTAACACAGAAGCTTCTTGTGCTCTCTTTTTATAGTTCATCCAGAAGGTCACCATCTGATCCTAAATGGCGTACATGTACCCTGCCCCTGATCCTAGCTGACTCTGGGAGTGGGAGGAAAGATCTAAGGAAGGGAAGGGGCCTCAAAATCTGGAGTCAACCAGACCGTTTGGTAGCAGGGCCTGGGGAGGGAAGCAGAGCCCTGCTGGATCAGGCCAAGGGCCCATCTAGTCCAGATTCCTGTATCTCACAGTGGCCCCACCAGATGCCTCTAGGAGCACACAAGACAACTAGATACCTGTCTCCTGATACCCCTCCCCTGCATCTGGCATTTGGAGGTACATTCCTTTGAAGCTTGGAGATTATACATCCCCATCATGGCTTGTAACCTGCAATGGACTTTTCCTCAAAGAATCTGCCCAATCCCCTTTTAAAGGCATCTAGTCCAGTTGCCATCACCACATCCTGTGGCGAGGAATTCCACAGACTAACAAAATGCTAGGTAAAGAAATATTTACTTTTGTCTGTTTTCAAGTCATAGCAGGCCTGTAGTGAACTGCCCTTGCAGGTAAGAAAAATCACATTACCTGTTTCAGGTCTGAACTTTGTTGTATGAATCACTATGTAGAGCTGAGATGGACAATGTGTATTGTTGTTGCACAACTATCATCAACCCTAGGCCATATTGCCAACAATGAAGAATGATGGGAATTGTAATCCAACATCTGGAAGGGCATACTTCACCCATTCTGAGGCTGAGGAATCTATAATAGGTGCAACATTCTTGCCTTGATCATTACTATGTGGAACTTAACCTAGATCAGACTTCTACAACCTAGTGTCCCTCCCCTGGATGTGTGCAACTCCCATCATGTCTTGCTGGCTGGAGACAGAAGTAGTTATAGTCTGGTACACCTGGAGAATAACAGAGTGGCAAAAACTGCTCTACATGATGCCCCCTCACTGCACAGAAACCCTTATCATTCAGTTTGCTTTCTACACTGCACTTTTAATAGCCACCTAGAAATTCTTTGTTATACATTTATATTTTCAACAGCTGAATCTTCCACAGGGCATTCATAAAACTCATATATAATGTGCGGAGAGAATATATATGTATATGTATATGTATGTGTGTGTGTGTTTGTGTGTGTTCATGTATATTCATCTTCCTCTCTCTCTTAAATATGCATTGGCCAAAAGTAAGCTGCAGACAAGTCTTACTGAAACCAACTCCAGTGGTGCCTCGCTTAGCAATCGCTCCGTTTAGCGATGAAATCGCTTTGCGATGAACTTTTTGCAATCGCTTTTGCAATCGCTTTGTGATGTTCCCTAGGGGGTATTTTCACTTTGTGATGACCGAGCATCGCAAAGTGACCATTTTCGCATCGCAAAGTGGCCATTTTCACACAACTGATCAGCGGTTTCAAAATGGCAGCCAGGAAAAAAGCACGGCCGCCCGCTGTTTTCTGGGATGGATTCCTCACTTAAGAGGCACCAGAAATGGCCGCGCTATGGAGGATCTTCGCTGAACAGTGAGTTTTAAGCCCATAGGAACGCATTAATCGCATTTTAATGCATTTCTATGGGCTTTTTTATTTCGCATTGCAACGTTTTCGTGCAACAGCGATTTTTGCAGAACGAATTAACGTCGCAATGCGAGGCACCACTGTATATGGATTTGATACCACAGTCTTTTATCTAGAAATGGGCTTACTGTCTCCAAAAGAGCTTGCTTCCAGGTATGTGCACACAGAACTGCAGTCTTAATTAAGAACCAAACAAATTCCTATCAAAATCAATCAGGATTAAGACACTTTGCTGGATCATGGGCATTTTTTTTCCTGGATACAGTGCAGTTACATCTCAGTGTAAACATGCTGTCTCTACTCAATTTTGCAGCAACACGTTTAGTGGTATTTAAAAAGTTTTAAAGCATGTGGAAAAGAAAAGGGAGAAGAATTGTTAGGCATATTTACAATGGACTGAGCAAAGACAAGCGCCTCAATACAGAGAGGTTCGCAAGGGCTTGAGCCAACTCCACATAACACACTCTGAAGCAAACACATACAGTATCTGGTGGAGCTTTTGGCCATTTTGTTCTAATAGCATTCCCCTCACACTTCCAACAAATTTTAAGACTTCCCCAAATGCTTTTCAATGCAGTATTGCTGGAAAAAAAATGCAAGGGTGAAGGGCCATACTATACTCAAGACAATTAGGATGCTCAATTAAATGACAGAGAGCTTGGTATACATAGTTACTTCTTTTGACTACAATCCCC